CCTCTGAGGAAAGAGGATCTTGAAGACTGCTTAAAAGGAGCAGTCTGTATCAAGCCACCTGTAGGAAGGTTCAGTGCTAGTCAGTATCTGTTGAATCAGCTGACACTTCTGCTGCTATGTATTGTGCTTTGATGCCTGTGTCAAAATAAAGTTTACGTTTGTTGTGGGGGATTTTTTTATGCCTTACAGACCAGATGCTGCAGCACACTTGACTGTGCAGTTGGCTTTTAAACAAATACTGAAATGCCTCTGAAGCTGATAACATCTACATATGAGCCTTGCAGAACTGGGAAGTTACATTCAGCCAGTAAAGGATGAGATTAAGAAACCAGCTTTCCATCTTCGCTACCATCATAAAGAGAGTGCAAGTGTTATTACACGCCAAACGAAGCTCTCTTATGTGAAGGTTATGAACGAATTCCCAATCACTGTCCTGTTTTGAAGAAGAATAGAGAACATGTGGAATGACCCTCTTCTTTCCTCCCAGTAACAAGTATTGCTCTTGTCTGCACACCAGACAAGAGGCTACCTAGGCTCATTTATCTAGCTCTGTTTCTCTGCGTGCAACGTAACTACATTACAATTGATGCTGGAAATTGGCCTTAGCACTGTATTTTTAGGGTTGGTTTTTTTGTTTGTTTTGCAATTCCCAGCAGCGTTCCAAAATTTGAAAGACACTGATCTTTTCTGAACTACATATTAAAGTGAAGTGGTGCTATGTTTAAGACTTCAAGGTTGAGTAGAACATAAGGCTACAACTGGCACGTTGATTTTAGCTGCTGGTTTTTATGTGAATTTTAGGTCATCTTTGTAAACCTTAAACAAAAGATTGTGATAAAGGGAGGGGGGGGTAAAAAGCTTTAGAAACTCCATGGTGGAAAGTGGCAAAATAGTATTTCTTGAAAACATCTCAGCTGTTACTAATGGGCAGGATTGTAAGTTTCAACTTGCCTAGTACTAAACAAGGGAGGAGTATATAGCTCTGTTCTGAATAAAGCCCTTCTATAGTGCGTGGTAACCTCTTGTACTTCAGTGACTGAGCTTGTATGTCACAAGGAAGTAAACATTTAAAAAGCTTGTGTTTGTTTCATGAAGAAGACTGTTGCAGTCTGTAGCATATTTTCAATTAATCAAAGTCAAAAGTCTAGAATTTGCTTATTAGTCATGGGAAAAACAACTTTGCCTGGCTAATCTGCCTCTTACAGCCCACATTCCTTCCTTTTGTCAATTATACAGGATTTATAACAGAATAGGACATCAAATGCTGTTCCTGTACACACCTGTGTATGCAGTATCTGCCTCGTGGGTGAACATTCTTATGTGCATCCCTAAGTCTGCCCACATGGAGCCACTTGTGTAATCAGTGATATCAGACAGTGGGGGCACAAGGCTTTGTTCCCTTTGCCCATGCAGATAATCCCAGTGTCCTTGGCATATTCTTGTGCTGAATAACTCAACTAATAGTTCTATGGAGCCGTAGGCCTTAATGTTTTTGATATTGTTTGTTGGTACCTTGTTTTTCTGTTTAACTTTTTAAAAGAAACCTAAACTGTGCTGATTTCTCTTTTTGTACATTTTTATTATTCTAAGTCTTTGCATTGCTTATGAGGCTTTGGGCAACCTGGTCTAGCAGAATGTATCCCAACCCATGGCAGGAACTTTGGAGCTAGGTGATCTTTAAGGTCCTTTCCAACCTAAGCCATTTTGTGGGAGTACTTGTTGGAACCAGAATCATAGAATGGTTTGAGTTGGAAGAGGCCTTTAAGATCATCTCTTTCTGACCCCCCTATAGACAGGGACACCTCTCTCTAGACCAGGTTGCTCAAAGCCCCATCCAGCCTGGCCTTTAGTTACATGATCCAAAGAGAAAATGCCTGTCTTTGGGTTGGAGAAGGTGCCAGGTGTTTGTTTGTTTGTTGTAGAAACAAGACAGCTAAGCAATTCTTGATAGCTTTTCCAGTTCTGGCAAGTATTGTGGTAGAACAGAATGAGAACTTTGTTTTCCTACTACAGGTTATTACTGTACAGTAACCAAAAGGTGTTTTTGTGGAAGTTACCTGTCCATTAGACGGATATGCCTGCCTTAGGCTGAAATGGTGTACCTAAAAAATCTGGTGGAATTTGGGATCTTGTTTTCTGGAGCAGTTCTTTCTATCTGCTAAGAGGTTGCACAAAGGAGTAATATATAAAAGCAGATGAACTCTTGAGCAAAACGGAGAGAGGGACAGCAGTTCTCTTAAAACTCCCTCTGCTGTCTGATAGCAAGTCTTCCTTCTTTGGCTAAGCAAACCCTGTGACCTGATTGTTGCTCTTGACTGTCAGACATTGTACTCTTATCTCAAAGCTTTTGCTGATTTATTAATAGGGAAAGAGGAGGGTGATCAGATCCAAGAAACATAGTATTTTGCTCAGTGCATGTTTGGCTCATCTGTAATTAATACACCTTGTATTGTTTGCAAATGTGGACCTGACATTGGAATCTGTGCTAATTCATGAATGCAGCTATATGCTCTGCTTCTCTCCCTTTCTTTTTCAGTGGACCAATGCCAGGAGAGCAAATATTGGGCTGTGTGTGTGGAAATAGTCATCATGAGAAAGCTGCCTTCACTGAGTGTAGGCTGTGGTACTGTAAGAGCAGAGTACCTCATCAGATGCTTGACATCAAACATCAATGTCTGCATACAGTTCTGAGTGGATTTAAGGTCAAATAAGTGGCCTCCTTAAGGCTTGGGAGACCACTTAAGGAGATATTTAACTGTTTTTGGAATTGGTGAAGTCTCTAAGGCAGACATCATCACTCTTGGAGGAAATGCAGCAGGCACAAAACACACAAAGACAAAATTGCTCTTGAAACTTTCAGATTGAAGCTCAGTACAAATAAGCAACTATGGTGTGGTGAGCATCTCATTAGTTTGCCAGATTGAATCCTGAATGTAAATGTTTGGAGAAGGATCAAATTTATTTTAATGAGTCCTGCTCGTGCAGGGATTTTTATTTGCATCAGCATGCTTGAACACTGTTACCACTCCTCCTGCCCTGTTTTGCAGCCATATCCATGGATTTTTTTTAATTCAGCACAGACTATTGGGTGGGTCAGTGATGGACAGTACTGGGAGTTTTCTATTAGCTTGCCTGCAGTTGCATTAAAACACTCTGCCCTAATAAAATGTAAGAAAAGAGAATGCTTCCTTGTGTGACCTCTGGTTGTAAACATCTAGTGATCATTCTGTGATTGAAGAAATCTCTTTTCCTTTTTCTAAAAGGATCATCAACTTTCATAGATTAATTTCATAGCAGATACATGTTAAAATGTTATTTTGTAAGGTTTTTCTTGTAGTCTGCCAAAACAAAATCCACATCCAGTTTCTGTAGGATTCTGCTATTACATGTCCCATGATGGAGGGTACCAAGTAGCTTGTTGCTTATCATCCTTGGGACGACCCAGTTTTTATACTGTGATTATTTTGGCACTTGGAACGCAGAAAAAAATTTGTCCTTTCCTGATTTGGTGGTTGATTTCAAACGTATGTAAGTGCATACGATGTATGTAAGGCTAAATAAAAGCTAAAATAGCAATTGGTGTCACTCTTGGGGTAGTAGCGGTGAGGAATCAGGCTCCAGGTCAGGGCTGATGGCTGCCAAAGCAGGGGCTGCCTGCTGATGTGAGCCAGCTTTGCTAGTGGGCTGCTGCTTTTGCACATTTAGCCAGGTAAGGATGCCTCTGTCAAACAACTTGGGTGGGAGACAGGCAGCATGAATATGAAGAAGACCATGTGAAGGTCCAGCACTACTGTTGTGTAAATGTATGGTGGTGTAGATGCATCTGCCTAGGGCTCTGTGCTTGGGGCTGGTTCTTCATGGCACAGCATCACTCTGCTGGGAGATGAGAGAAGACATCACAGGAAAAATGGGAGTGAGACCCACCAAATGGAAAGCAGGGAAAACTCTTCAGCAGCTCCCATGAGCCAAGTCTGTTATGATTATTAATAGTAATGAAACATTGCCTGTTAGTAAAGCCCAACCACTTTCTAGTAATAAAATGATCAGGAAGTGGAAGTTGTCAAATAATACCTTTCTGGGTGAGTTCATTTTATTTGTTTTCATCTCCAGTGCATTGTGGCAAATGTTGAAGGACAGAGCCTTATTTTGGAGCAGTGCACATCTTTATAAGACCAGTTTTTACTGGAGGACTTTCAAAAACATTTTTTTTTTTTTTTGTCTATGGGAAGGTATCTAGGTAACAGCTGATATAAACCTAACTTGCACTGATATTTAAATGCTTAAGTCACTGCACAGCAAAATTTGGACAACTTTAAAGAGTGTTACCTCACTGTTTTCATTTTTAACTCTCAAGCTAAGTAATTAGCTAAAGTATCCCAATTTCTGACAGAATAATTGATGCTTAGAGGGGTTTTCATTTTACATATCAAGGTTTTCATGAAGCCCTTGGGGATCCCAGCGTGGTTTTTTATATCGTATGCTCCAATTTCAAATGCAGTGAAGTTTATGTTGAGAAGTTTTTAAGATGACATCAAAAATTCAACAGCAGCAACAAAAATAAGGAATCCAGAGAGACAGTTCTCAAGTGGTAAGAAGTTTGTGCTATATAAAACTCCAGATTTCATGGGAGAACTAGAAATTAGCTTCATAAGAACTGAACTCAAAGCCTTTGAAAATTGGTAGAGAAGTGCCCAGTGATAATAATAAGCTTTGAATCAGAAGAAATTTATTTTGTTGCTGACTTTATTGAATGTATGACTTTATTCTTTCCCATGCAGGGTTCTAAAAGGTTCACATAGCTGCAGTATTGGTGTAAGGCTTAGGTCTGGAGGGGGGTGCACTTGTCCTTCTCTTCCCTGCAGCCCCCAGGAGGTGCTGCTAAACACCACAAACTGGTCCGGAGTGCTGGGTGCTTGTGCCCGATGTTCAAGTAGTAAGGCAAGATGGGGAATGCAGAGTCTCTTCTTCAGGTGGCCCAAGCTCTCAGAAGCAGTGCTGCAGTTGAGGGAAGTGCCTTTTTGCAGCAGGGCCCAATGCATGCAAGTTTCTTCCATGGAACAGCTGCAGATCCTAGGCTGAGTTTCTTCTTTGGAGTTTTGAATAAAATGGCAGGCAAGTAGATCAGGGCACCTGCATTTGCCATGGATTTCAGCTCATTGGCTTAGCCTAACAGTTGCTTTGTGCTGTCGTATGAGGAGGAGAGGGATTGCCTCTGCCTTGGCTGGTGGGGTGGAGGAAGGGTGCTGCCTTCCTGCTGGTGGCTTTAACTGGGAATTTAGAGCCAGTGGCACGGATGGAAACATGTATAGAGAGAAGGAAGCGGAAAGAAGTTGTGATGTGGGAATGATGCATTGGTTGTACAAAAAAGTGTAGTAACAAAGTGTGTTTTCCAGAGGTTGGTAGGGTAGGAAGTAAATTTTCAGTGGTTTCTGAGCAGTTTGGATGTGGAGTCTTTTGGCAGAAGACTGTTTGATACCAAACTGTGTTCTTGGTATGAGTGTAACTCGTGTGCTCTGGTTTCGTATGAAAATCACAGAGATTTTGAGGCTTGTTCTCAGCTTACACACTTCTCACTTCTGCTGATGGGCCTTATGGCTTTTAACAGCCATTTACACTATTGGAACCATTTTATAGTGAATTCTTTGGAGTGTCCCTCCACTTGTTCCTCTGCTGCTCAATAGATCATGGAAGCTGAGCTTTCCATAGCAGAGGAGCTGTGACTGGAATTGTGCATTGAGGCATTGCACAACACTGCTCTAGGAGCAGTGAGAAAGATTTTTATTTCGCTTGATTATTAAATCAATTTACCCCTTCCAGATTCACTATAAATTGTTCTGCTATGAATCTGAGCTTCAGAGAAGCCCATACTGATGCCATTGCGCATAGATCATTGCATTCTAATCTTGCATGTCTTTTGGCGAAGCTTTCTTTTATTAATTTATATTTTCTTTCTTGCTGCAGTTTTTTCTCCTTATTTTTCTATTGTAGGATCTGGAATTTCTCCCCTTGAAGATGACGAAGATGCATATGCACGCAGTAGATATAAAGGTGAATGTTTTGCTTATGTGTCAATAAGGATCAGCTGGTTGCTGAGAGAAAGCTTTCTTCTTTTTCTTTTCATAGATTATAAAATCTTGCAGATCCAGCTCCATCTTGTTACTGCTTTTTTTTCCCCTTCCATGGATTTGAGATCAAGGTTTACTTTTTACCTTTTTTTTTATTATTATTTTTTAAATGATTGAAGTTAGACTAAGTCTCAGTCTCCACTCTTATGCACCTGAGTAAGTAACCCTTGCACTGCCTTGGCTCTTGGAAGTTCAAGTTTGCAAGGTCATGAAAATCTATGAGGAGCTTCTCTTCTTTGTTCTTCATACATCATAACAAAACCATCAATGATAAGCTGACTCAAAGCTTGCGACCATTGATGATAACATGTAGAAGAACATGCAAGAGAACTTGATTTTCATGACTTTTTTTCATAAAATTGTTCTCATTTTAAGCTAACTTGCTGTCTGTAATGCTAACTGTGTTTAACGAAAGAACATTTCCATTCTAAAACAGTTACCATAGCTGGAGGAAAGAGCGGATGGGCATGCATGTTTATAAAGCAAATTCAGGTTTTCTTCCACATTGCAGAAGATTTTGCTCTTCAGCAAGGCTGAGAAGCTTTTTGCCAGTTATTAGTAAATCTTCCAATTACTATGTCAGTTTCTTAAAGTCTGTCTCAGTAGCCCCCCTGCCCAAATTCCTCAGAAACCCAAACAATCCAGAAACATGGCATTTTTTGTCACTTTAAATGGCAAGTGTTGCTTTTTTTGTAAACTGATGGGTGAACGTGTTAGAATTGCTGTGTACTTGTTTTGATTACTTGAAAACAGAGGACTTGGTTTCATGCTATTGATACCTTGCAGAGAAATAGTGGGCCTTAAGTAAGAGGTAAGTCATAAGATAACGCAGACATCTATGAACAGTAATGATGCTATGATTATATTGCTATTTTCATAAAGTTCTCCTGTTCCTCCCTAAAATTTTCCTTTTAAACACATGCAGAAATGTTTCCCTAAAGCTTTCTTTGTGTAAACTCATTCTTCTTTGCCTTTTAACATGTAACCCTCTGTGGACCCTTACAAAAAGAATCCCAAAGATCATAAATATAGATCAATGCCAATTAATGCCAGGGCAGGCAAGTAGTTAAAATGCGGATTCTGCATAAATTCCTTTTTTATGGTGATCCAACATGGATTATGTTAATGTCAGCCAAAATGTCACGAGGGTAAGTGAAACATAATGACTCATTCACACAGACACTAAAAACTACCCTGAGCTTGGAAACTCCACTGCCAAATGTTGAGGATCAAACAGTGTGAATGTAAGAGAATAAAGCATGGAGCAGAAAAGGCTCACTCTTCATTAGCATATTTATTTAAGTTGGTAGTGGGAGGGAAGGGGGTGGAGAAGGACAAAGCAGGGAAAAGCAGGCTAAGGAGCCATGTTCTGAGCTGCTCTTTGTATGTGCAGTTCAGCATTTCCATCATGGCCTATCGCTTGGTTAGTACAACTTCCCAGTAAGAAGTAGCTAAATTTGCTTAGCTTATGTTAACATATTTAAGCAGTGCTGTGTTTTTTCTTTGCCCCCGTGCACACTAAGCAGTGTGAGCAAGCACACAGATTTGTCCTTATTTTCATATGCAAACAAAGCATTGCTGTTTATGGGGAGGAACTGACCTCCTACCAAACCTCTTTGTCTTCATCTGGATGTTTTTCAGCTTGCTCAGCTTTCCAGAGAGAGACATTGCTGAGACTTTCTGTGTCCGCAGTGTTTTCACAGTTTTCTCCTCCTTCCCTAACGAACCTTCCACTCTGGGGTGTCCTTCAGTGCAACAGGGCATTTTGCATGCAGATTATGAAGGAAAACAGACTGGTGTTTAAACAGCACTGAGAGGCTGAGGGAAATGATGCTCTAGAAAAAGCTTTCATTCCTGCCACTTGGCAGGGCTGCCTTGGATCATATTTTACGAGGAAAACCTTCTTGAATACAGCAGTTCCTGTGTTCATCACTGCCCTAATGCCAACTGCTCTGAGATCCTCCTTCTTTACATTTTTTTCTCAAATCCTGTAAGGATGAAACCATAGCCCCAACTGTAGGTAACATTGTAACATTGTGGTTTCAGCCATTTCTGCTTGCTGCCTTTTTTTGGAGGCTTCAAACACAATTGAGTCTTTGAAATATTTTACTACTAAGCAATAATGCAGGGTACTTTATTCACAGAATCATGGAAGGCTTTGGGTTCAAAGGAACCTTTAAGATCATCTAGTGCCAACCCCCCTGCAATAGGCAGGGACAAGCTGCCACTCAAACAGATTGCTCAAAGCACCATCCAGCGTGGCTTTTAACACCTCCAGGTCTGGGGCAATCACTACCTCACTGGGCAACCTGTTCCAGTGTCTCATCATCTTCATAGTAAAGGATGTCTTCTTAATAACTAGTATCTAATATCTACCCTCTTCCAGTTTGAAGCCATTTCCACTCATCCTGTAGCTGCCAGCCCTTCTTAAAAGTCCCTCCCAGCTTTCCTGTAGGCCCCCTTCAGGTACTGGCAGGCTGCTATGAGGTCTCCTTGGAGTCTTCTCCAGGCTGTACAGCCCCAACTCTCACAGCCTGTCCTCATAGGGGAGGTGCTCCAGCCCTCTCTTCATCTTCATGGCTCTCCTCTGGACCTGCTCCAACAACTCCATGTCCTTCTTGCGCTGGGAGCCCCAGAATGCTCAACCTGAATGCAGTACTCCAGGTGGAGTCTCACGAGAGCTGAGTAGAGGGACAGAACCACCTCCCTCAATCTGCTGGTCATGCTTCTCTTGATGCAACCCAGGACATGGTTGGCCTTCTGGGCAGCAGGTGCACATTGCCAGCTCATGTTGAGTCTTTCATCAACCAGTACCCCCAATTTTTTCTCCTTAGGGCTACTTTCAAGCCATTCTCCTTCCAACCTGTATCTGGGCTTGGATCTTATCACTAAGGAGTGGTGCAAGCTGTCTACTAAGCATAAAAACATTGCATCAGAACTAGTACCTAAAAACTCTAATTTCATTTGCTTGCACAGAGCCCCAGTGAAACTCCTGAAGAGATGCCTGAGAGACCTGTAACTTTTTCTATTTCCAAATTCTTCAGAAACAGGGCTGGTCTTGTCCCAAGAGGGAGATGCATGACCTCTCCAGGCCCTAACCAACCCTAATATTCCTTAAATACTACACGTAGCTGCTTAGCCTTTGAAAAACAGTATGTGCCTTCACTTAAAAATAAACAGGCTTTGATGTAAAACTTTGTTGTATCGTTTGATGTGTGTTCAGGCACAAAAGCTTTTCAAGTTCACTGGGTTTGATTCAGCGATATCAGTGGTTCCAAACCCAGATTCTTGCCCCCTTCGCCTGCCTCACTGACTTTCTTCTAATCGCTTTCAGTTCTGGAGTAGGAATAATAATATTTTAGATCAAAGAGATGTTCCCTCTAAGCTCTTCAAGCTATCTGCATCCAAAAGCAGGTCTGTTTTTGTTTTTATTTCGAGCAGTACTATTTGGTCTGATAAAAGATGTGCTGCCTCTCCCTAGGAGCCTTGCTTTGTTTCTGTAGACCACCATAACTGCCAGAAAACTGCATCAAGATTTTTGTTGCTGCTGTTTTTCAGTTTTCATTTTGTGCAGTAAATTGCATTTGTTAGCTGCTAGCCATTTTTTTTTCTTCTTTTTTTCTAAATATACAGGCAGCTGTCTACTTACAGCCACAATATTTCTAAAAAAAGCTCAGGCTGTTTACAATACTCAGAACAGCTGATTTGCTTTTTTGGTTGGCCACCTGATTGCATTGCCAAGTGTACATCTTAATGCCCTTTATGAAGGAAATCAGTCGTGCTCGTTTGCACTTGATATCTGTAGGACACCTTAAGCATAAATATCATGATTTGCTCCAAATTGCCTTGCTGACTGGGATGAAAACAATCCTCAAGTTGCGTCCCTTCAACGCTGTTGGACAGGGCAATAGTCTGATAATGAGTCTGTGATGCCCATCCTCAAAGTGCTCTTTCTGTTTCTCCAGGGCTGACACAGCAAAACGTAGGTGGAAAATCCAGTTTCCGTTGGGAAAGTGCAAACAAGGCCTGGAGGCATTCTACGCTGAATACAAACTATTGCAGGCTGTATTGCTTTTTGTATTTGAAGCTGATCCCAATTGTGTAGAACATGTACCTCAGCACTATGTGAATGAAGAGCTAGAAGTGAACATCTGCCAAAGTGCTCTATTATTTTTTTTTTCCAGAAGTTATTTTTAAGTGTCTGCTGTGAGCTGGTGAGGATGAAGGCTAAAACTCTTTCTCTAGATCTTTTTTCTTCTTCTTTTTCTTTATTGGTTGTTACTGTATCTCTTGTAGTCTTCTGTAAGTCCCTGTATGTCTCATCTGCCGCTGCATGTCACACAGGACTTCAGGAGCTGTCAGCTCTTTTGCCTTACAGTCCCTCTATCCCCCTGGGTCTGTCCTTTTCAAGTCTTGGAGCTGAGAAGCAGCAGACTTAGTCACTGCTTGGGTCAGAAACTGCTACTGAAAAGCTGCCCAGAGCACAAAACCCAGTGCTTTCTTCATCTGTGCTGCTGTCAAAACTCAACAAAGATTCCAAATCTTTGCCTGTGAAGCAGAAGTCTTTATTTGATACTGCACCCATCAGTATCCCAGTATGAGGATAAATCCTCCACACCTCGTGACTACTTTGAAGTTCTGATCAATTACTAAAAATACAGTTTCATCTGCACTTGTGTTTCCCTTTTCCCACAATTCTGGCAGAAGCATTAGTCACCAAGTCCCAGCACAACTCCATCTTTTCTCTCATTTGGCAGATGCATCCATGCTGCTGTCCTGCATCCAGGAGCAGCAAGAAGGCAATTGATGTACTCAGAGCCATGTTTCCTTGTTTTTTAGGGAAAAGGTGGCCCTTCACCCATCTTTGAGGTGAAGAGTGTTCCTTTTTTTATGCACATGCGCTATGTGTATGATCATAAACAAGCACTGACACTCTCTGAAGAATTTGATAGGAAGAGGTACAGGTTTTAGTCTTGTCCAATCCATGTGTTGTGCTGGAATGCACACTTTGCAGTTGGATGCTGAGAATTTCTACCAAAAAGAACAGAATACGTTTAGATCTGTCTTGAGAGCTCTTCGGTTAATCTGCTGGATTGGACACTTCCCTTCAGGTTTGATCATGGCAATGATTGTGCCCAGCTTTGCTGGTAGAAGGCTATTTTATGTTAGTGATCCTATGAGTATGTGAATGTTTCTGTGTGGTGCCAGAGAACCACTGAGGGCTGTAAAGGTGTAGACTTTTCACTCCAGCTTTAACCCTGAGTGCTAACTTGGAAATTAATATTGCAAAACCAGAGCCAAACTTAAACCCTGAATGGTTGATCTGGTGTGAGAAGGGTGTATACGTGCAGGCTTGATTTTACTGATAATGCGATTTAGGAAGGTGACATCCTTTCTAAATGTTGTAGAGGTTGACCTGTTGCAGAGTTCATCTAAGGCAAAGTTCTCTATTGCATAAATCACTGTTTCAATAGGCAGCAGGAGAGCTACATGTTGCAAAGATTACAGCTACATTCAGACCAAGTCTGTCACTGATGCAAACTTGTGTCACAATGTTAGATTTCCCAGTTTAAAAACAAGAAAGATCTGTCTGTCATCAAGATGTCCACATGGTGGCACACTTAGTCCATGGACAAAAAAAACCAACACCTCCTGCCCTAATCTATTGACTATGATCTTTAACGTTTGTGATAAAAAAGAGCCACCAGTATTTGAAGACCTGACCTACAGATGTGTAAGTACTGAGTGCCCCTTGCTGTGCTGTTATGTCTCCTCTTTTGAGGATCACTGACTTTTTGAATGATACAATTTTTTCATCTGATTCTTCTCTGTGACCTTGTATGAAGAAGATGCTTTTACATTCCTGTCTGACCTTTTACATTTTGTGAAGTACTATGTACATTTAATTTTGTTGTTCTCTGTGCTAGAAACACCATGGTGCTCTCCCATTAAGGTGAAACATGGTTATGCAAACTGCAGGACACCTCAAGGGGAATATTACAAGAATGTACTGGGGACAAGATGTGATATTCGTTGTCAGAAAGGCTATGAACTGCATGGCCCTCAGCAGCTCATCTGTCAGTCAAGCAAACGCTGGTCTGGGAAAGTACTGTGCAAACGTAAGTAGTGCCAATGCAGCAGACACTGAGCTCTGCTCATCTTTGTATTCAGTGTAGCTGAAACCTGCGAGTCCTAAGTACTAACAAGACGAAACAGTCATTTTGGTGGTTATTTTATTTTAGTCATAGGCAGTGTAGACAGGCTTGTCATCTAAAAGTCTTGCAGTGGTACGTGGTGTGATAAGTATCACAAGTGAAGTGGAAAGCGAAGAGGACAACGTATTACAAGTGTAAGATTTTTATTTGTGGGAAGAATTTTATGAAAAGAACCTTAAAACTTCTTTAGAAAATTCTCCATTGTGGATTTTGTAAGCTGATGCAATTTTTATCAGGTGCCTAAGTGGGCTCTTACAGTAAAATATCTTGCAGTAAAATATAAGACATGTACGTGCTATCTCTCTCTCATGTAAATACTGCATTGGGCTAATGTGCGTGTAAAATTAAATTTGAAAGATGATAAATAAGAAAAGTGCAAAAACCTTATGTGGGGATTTGCTTGGTAGCTGCACCTTTACTTCTCTGCAACACCTCGGGGACATTATTCTAAGGGAGTATTAACAGTTTTTCAGAACTCTCTCTTCTCCGTTTCAGAGAAGCGCTGCCCCACGCTCTCCATGCCAACCAATGGGGGCTTCAAGTGCTTGGATGGTGCCTACTTTGGCTCCAGGTGTGAGTACTACTGCTCACCAGGGTACCAGCTGAAAGGCGACCGCATAGTGACATGCATGGACAGCAAAGCTTGGAGCGGCCGGCCAGCTTCCTGCGTGGGTAAGTAGAATCACAGAATGTTTTGGGTTGGAAAGGACCTCACAGCCCACGCTGCCCCAACCCCTGCCATGGGCAGGGCTGCCCCCCACCAGCTCAGGCTGCCCAGGGCCCCATCCAACCTGGCCTTGAGCCTCCAGGGATGGGGCACCACAGCTTCTCTGGGCAGCTGTGCCAGTGCTTCAAAATAGTACGCTTTGTCTGCATTGTGATAGTTCCCTAGACAGGTTGGACACTGACCCCTTTTTTCTGATGCCCCCCTCTTGCATTTGTTTCTTGGTATCATGGTTTTCTGGCTATACCCAGAGAATATGGATGGACTGTAATCACCATGATGGTGACTATAGCAATCTAGTCTTAATGTAGTTCACATGAGTTTTACCAGCAATTTCCATTATTTAGTCACCAATATCCTGGGAATCTCAGCTGGTACAATTGGTTTTTATATCCGTAAATCAATCAGGATAGAAACAAATATCAAGAGTTAACTTCTTCCAACTGACAAGATTTGGCAGATAGGCAGTGAAGTCTCTGCTGCTGCTTTTTCTGGGAAGGTTCAGCAGCTGCCCACAGAGAAAAGCTGTTCAGCTATCTGACTTGGCTACCAGTAATCTGAGCTTGTGGGTGGCAGGATATTTGTGCTCAGTGTTTTTTTGTGTGTGGTGTCTTGGTTTTCCTCAGAGTTCCTGTTGCTTACTCTAGGTTAGTAAACAGGCTTGGAGTGTCTCCATTCTGGCTTTATATTTGGAGATTTTTTTTAGTTTTCCTGTTACTTGTTGTACAAATGTATGAATAATTCTGCTTCTTAGGTCCAGCCTGTTTGTGGTGTCATTTTTGTTTACAAAAATGAGCCATGTCCTTCTTTGTGGTGTGGGTGGAGGAAGAAGAATCCTTTTAAGTTTGGGAATCATTAAATGCTTTCTGTATTTCCTGGCTCTTTCAGAGCCTCATCTGTTTTTGGTATCAGCATGCTTATTGCTGAAGATGCTGACTGGTGTTGTAGAAAATTTTTTGCCTGAGTTTACCTTAGGCAAAAATAAGAGAAGCTTAGGGTTGCACATCCACTTCTTTTTTAGTCCAACAATGCAGGTCGGTTATTGCATAGGATATGATTGCAAATCCACAGTAACCAAGTAACAGCATTATTTAAGTTTTGGTAATACCACATAGTATGGGGAAGACCCTTTCAAACCTTGTGTGCACACTATTTTTGCACATAAGCCGTGAGTTAAGCAGTTAGCAAGCTGCTTAATAAAATTCTTGACAGGTAAGATAGGAATTGTTTGTGACCAGGCATGACCTTAATAGCATAATGCAGTCTGATTAATCTTAGCGTGGTTCAGTAGTACAGAAAAACTGTTAGTGAATTGGGCAGAAGAGAACCAGCTGAACAGATGCTCTTCCTGATTTGAAAGGACCTTGTGGGTCCTTTCAAACTCAGAATACTCTACAATTCTGTGATTCATAAGGGATGCTACCATCCCATGCCTGTGATTACGTGTGAAGTTCATATCGCTGGGCAGCAAAGAGGTCTGTGGACACTGTAGATATTGGCATCAAGTGTGGCAGAATTACCACAGAGCTGAATTTATAACTGTTGAAAACACAGGGGGCTTTCCTCTGAGCTTTAATACTGTAATTGCACTGCTAAGCGATTTTGCACAAAAATACTTGGAGTTCACAGCAATATAGAAGGTCAATGTAAGGTCAAACAACTGTTGTTGCCTGTGGTACCTTTTCCATTACAAGGAGGAAAAAGAGACTGTTTTTCTTCAAGAAAATTAGGTGTGTTTTAGCAGTTGCTTATGGGAGCCCTTATAGACAGTGGATATTAACTTCTAACAAAGCACGTGTGCCCTCTCCCTCCTATAAGAGGAATGATATTCTTCATGATGCTGAGCAGAAGGAGAAAGTCCAAAGTATAGCTGATTCAGCTATCAGTTAATTAAAAATGCCAATGAACGGTTTTTGAATAGTTTTTCCATTGTGTCTTTAATTCACTGTAACACAGACTGTAATAGGGATTTTCCTCTCAAAGAGTGAAAAATATCACTTTTTTTTTCTTTTTTCTTTTTTCTTTTTTCTTTTTTTTTCCTTCAATGAAGGTTTCATTTCCTGCTGCTGTTATAGCAGAGGTTGTGGTAAATGGTGTCACCATGCTAAGTCATTCTTTTCACATCCTAGGAAGATTGTACTGATAGGTGATTAACAGCTTTCAACTACTGATGTCTGAAACAAGCTTTGCACTCTGAGTCATTAATTATACAGGCAGTGATAATGGATGCTTTGAAATACAGAACAGTGCCTTGTGGAGGGCAGAATGGTGTTTTTCATTTACCCTTTCATGATTTCCAGTCTTTTCCTCTCTTTATGTTTTTGACACACAGTAATGTTTTTGAGCTAGCTTCCAGCCATCAAGCACTAATAAGAGGGTTTGTATGCAACGGCAGACTCACTGGCCATTTAATACCATCCCTTCTCTTTCTGTCCCGCTAAGTCCCTGCTCACAAGCAAATAGCAGACTATGAGAAATGCAGTCAAGAAGATCTTTTCATTTCATTGTTGATATTGCTAATACAGCCATTCGTACGTAGAAGAGAAGAAATGTAAATATAAAAGCTATTTTGAAAACATATATCTCAACGAAGTTCAAAAGACAGCTTTAAAATTGAATACTCCTCTGCTAACTGACCACTTAAGTTGCTAGAGTTCAAGAAAGGTCTGGGCAACTCTGATTTTTGGGTGGTCCTGTGTGGAGGCAGGAGTTGGACTCGATGGTGCTAATGGATCCTTTCCAACATTGGATATTCTGTGATTTCTGCAACCTCTTCTGAGCACAGGGCAGCATACCAGTCATTGCTGGGAAGCCAAGAAAAGCAACAGTTGACAAGAACATAGGAAGAGTAGCGGCTGAATGGCTGCAATTTTTCTCTGTGGAAATTCAGTTTCCTTGGCTAGGATGTAAACCTTTCTGGCAGGACTCATCCATTAAGTTCACAGCCCTGACACACAGCTTAAATAAATCAGTTTGAAGTGCCATCGTTCTTTCAGTAGTGACACAGCAGTAAAAGTGTTAAGAACAACCATATGAGGTCAGAGTGCCCTGAAAAGCATCCTGCCTCCAACCCTGCCCAGGATATTTGCCACAAGACAGACTGTGACAATTCACAGCTTCCAGGGTCTCTTTTCCCCTCTGCTGAACCCTCCCTGGTGGTCAGCAGTCTTACGGCTTCCTCCAAAGGGTGCCTGATGGTTTTATTCCTGCAGTAACTGCGTTGTTTGTCTTTGTGATGTGTCTTTCTGAGCTGGTTTGTGCCAGCTGGTCTGCTCTGTGCTAAATGATGGAATGAGCTTTTGAATGAATGAAGTTCTTAAAGCACTGGGTCTTAAATGCCATTCTGACTTTTGTACCATCACTACTTTTATTTAATTGATACATTCAATACCATGGTGCTGAGCTGTAGCCACAGCAAAGTCAACAGGCATGCAAGTGGACTAGGTAAGATCTGCTTAGTTTTCACCTTTATTTGGCAGTGGATTACTGAGAGCAATGTAGTTTTGTAGAGGAGGGCAGAGCTGCCATGAAGTGTCTCACAAAGCACTCAGGGTTGAAGGAATACTCTGTTCTTACCAAAAAAGCCAACCAAACAAAAAACAAACAAAAAAAACCAGAAGAAGCCAGCTTTGGAGGTTGTCAAGTTCCTGGAATACTATCAAAGCTTGAAGGGAGTACGACAGCGCTGCACTTGCCACCATTAAACTGATACACTAAAGCAAAAGACAGTTGCTTTGAAGCAACAGACAGTTTTCTATGAAGGTGTGTAGAGTTATTTGATGTATTTGTTGCTTTATAAAGATCCAAACCTTTTCTCATTTCTTATAATTGAAAGATTTTGCTTTGTGTTTGTCATGCAAATGAGAAATCAAGGCCTGCCACCCTTTAAATTTGAGCAGCGTTTTAGAGATTGTCATCCACTTGCGGGTAAAGAGCAATCCTGCCTTGTTGGTTATTTTGAAGTGTGACTTCATGTATTTAGACTTTATTTTGGGCATAGCTCAAGAGATGATCAAAAAACCAAAGATTAAGTAATTAGGCGTGGATGTTTTAATAATTGTTATGATGTTTAGACTTGGTTTTCCAGTATAGTAGTAATAGCAAAGAAAGGCAAGCAGTTACGTGTCACCTTTATCCAGCATCACCAGCATTCTTTATGATCACTGCTGTTCTTGTACTCCTTAATAATAGTCAGTGTTCTGGTAGCACTTAATCAAGCTTTCAAAACGTACTTGATGTGCTTTGTTATTCATTTATTACCAGTAAGGCATTATTATAAGAATTACCTGATAAAATAATCTAGGAGTAATCCTCAACAGAAATGACAATTTTGTCAGTTTTGTGTTATTTCTCTTTTGCCACTGCTGCAGGAAAAATAACCAACAAGCAAAGTTAACACACGTTACATGCAAAGTTAACACACAGAAGCAGATCTCTGTTCAGTGCTTAATGAATGTACTTAATCACAGTAGCCTCTGCACAGCTGCACAAGGAGAGGCAGAGCAGATGAACAGAAGGTCCAGGCTCTCTGGGTACAGTCTTAAGCATCTTTCCTTACAGTTCAAGGCTAAGTGAAGTTTTAATTCATCGCTATTCAATTAAATTTACATAAAACTAAGTTTTCATTCTTTTTGGGGGGGGCAGGAAGGGTGGGGAAGGGTGTGATGGGGATGAGGGTCAGTGTCATCTATTGCTCTTGTTCCAAAAAGATGAGAAGCACAGGCTTCACTTGCATTGGTTGGGTCAGCTCTGGTGTTGAAGAAGCCAGCTGAACGTGGCCTAAGGTTACTCTGACAGCAGGACGGTGACTGTGAAGAAAAGGAGCAGCTCTAACAGATGCAAAGGTGCCCATTTCTCTGAGGTTTGTTTCAACAGATACAGAGCCTCCGAGAATCCAGTGTCCAAGCGTGAAGGAGAAAACTGCGGAGCCCAACAAGTTGACGGCCAGAGTATTCTGGGATACCCCGGAGGGAAGGGACACCGCTGATGGCATTTTGACAGAGTAGGTAGAAATCCATAGATGTCTGTGGGAAATATCCCATACAGACTTGTTGGATGAGCGACTGCAGTCTTGGCTGGGGATTACTCATGGAAGGAAAGAAATAGGATGAGCCGTGTCAGTTTTTTCTTGTATAAAGAAATGGAAACTTCAGTTTTTTGGGGCATTATGTTATGCTCAGCTACACTATGAACTGTCTTATAAGAAGCAAGCAGATCCTGACTGCTCTGCTCCCATTTTGTCAACGGAATGGGATCTTTTCGTTAAAGAGTGGGGCTGGTGGCAGCATGTATGACTGACCTGGTCCCTGCTATGCAGCTTCTTCCTGTGCCTGTGCTTACTCTCACTTTTCAGCCATGTAGAATGGCCAGACAAGCTCAGCATGCTCCAGACTTCACTCTTCAGGCTTTTACAGTGTTGGAAGTAGGAAAATACCAGTGAATTTATGGATGTCTGTCCCATTTTATCTCCTGTTTTAGTGTTATTTTGAAAGGCCTGCCACCAGGGTCACATTTTCCAGAAGGCGACCACAAAATCCAGTATACTGTGTATGACAGAGCTGAAAATAAGGGCACTTGCAAATTCCTTGTTAAAGTCAGAGGTAAGAATGATCTTTTACACTACAAATACAGTTACTGATATGCACCTGGCCTAGTAGGCAGTTTTAGAAATGTCCCTATCTCTGTAATTGTCTGTGCCTATGCACACAAACATGTATTTAAAATTTATATTGACTATGCAACTTAGTGTACCATCTTGCTCGAGTCCCTGATGGCCAGACCCACAGCAGGGTGTGCGCCTGGCATGCTGCAAGTCAAGAAGAGGCTCTAGTGATCCACCCTCCTCCATACTGTTGAAAATGTCAACTGCTGAATCAAGTAGCTGAAGGAGTTTTTCAGCTGTGCCTCCCATCTGTCAAGAAGAGTTACCTTTTCACAAGTCCAGGTCTTGAAATCTGCAATTGAATCTGTGAACATGATGAGATCTCTTTGTGCCCCTATGGCCATTTGTTACCATTTACCACTGTGACATACACACACCTCGATATCTGCATCCTTTCAGTTTACATATGATACTAAGAAGAGCTTTTATTTGGTCAGTCTTATTACATACTTGACCTTCATAATAGAGACAGCAAAAATAAAAAATACCTTCCATATTGGTATTCTGTTAGCTGTGATTTGTGCCCTGCCATTTTTTTTTCCCCTCCATATCTTGTCTTTCTTAAAGTCAGGCGCTGTGTGAAGTTAAATGCTCCAGATAATGGCTACATCAAGTGTTCAGGTGACGGAAATAACTATGGTGCTATGTGTGAATTTTCCTGCATTGGAGGCTATGAGCTACAAGGCAGCCCAGCTAGAGTGTGCCAGTACAATTTGGGGTGGTCAGGTGTGGAGCCAACCTGTGCACGTAAGTGAGTATTTTGCTACTTTACTGAAAGGGCTGTGATGGTTCTCACAGAAGTGAGAATTGGAGAAGAGGGTTGGGATCAAACACAGCTACAAATTTTAATGCCACTCAGATAAAAAAAAACATCTTAATGTTTCTTGCCAATTCACCCTTAGATCTGAAGCATGTGCCACCTTTGGCTGTTCTGTTCCTGGAATAATGATGGTGCCTTACAACTGATAGTGTGTTTCAGCCCAGGTCTTTATACAGAACTTCACCTACTGCAGTCAAACCATTTTGTAAGCCAGATTACAGCTTCAGATAAAATAGTTGGCTTCAACGAGGCCGTTTCAGCCGTTTTTTCTTTATTATTCTCTTGCTCCTGTGTTTCTGGTATCTGACACTTGTTCATCCTTTTAGAAATAGTTCTGGTTTTAGTATTCTCTGTAACTTCTCTTTTAAATTTCATTCTAGCCATGAATATTAATGTGAATGTGAGGACTGCAGCTGCACTTCTGGATCAATTTTATGAGAAGCGGAGACTGCTAATTATTTCAACTCCTACTGCAGCCAACTTCTTCTACAGGATGCAGTTGGGAATGCTGCAGGTAAAATGCAGTCCTGGGTGGGTTGCAGGGGGTTGTAGCTATTTTTTTTTTTCTTTAGACACATGATAGGATAAGCTCTGCTGTTGGTATAAACCAGCAAACCTCAGCTACTATGTTTTGAACAGTAGAGGATTTCTCAGAAGTGGTAGTGCTTCTGGATTAATCCTTTCTATGTGTGCCTGAGCTCCCTGTTTTCCACTTCAACTCTATTCTGGATTGTACTGCCACTGACTGACTAGTTACTCAATCCAGGCAGTTCTGACTCTTTTCCATCCTCTCAACATTAATTAATATGAAACCTGTAATCTAATAGTCATTCCCTCATTCACTTCATAAAGGAGTTAAGAAGAAACATCCAGCGCTTCAGTGGTTACAGTTCATGCAAACCAGGCTGATGGGGCTGTAACTGCAGTGTGAAGAAAAGTGACAAGCTCTAGAAATAACTTGTGTACTGCAGACTGGGGACCAGAGGCTCAGCATAAATAAAAATCACCTAGAATGCTGAAGATACCACTGTGGTATTTTGTAACAAAAAAGAAAAAAAGACTGGCGCTTGTTTTTCCTATATAAATATTTCTATAATATTTCTACTTGGGTTATTGCTAGATTAAATACACCTCAGCTCAGAAATGTATGTGTGTCCACAGGGAGAGCAGCCAGTTCTGTATTCTTTCATAGTGGCAAATGCTTTGTTTCTGTTCCCACAACTGGAACAAAAGTCAGAATGAACAGTCATTTCAGTATGAGTGTGATAACATTTCTAACTGCAGGCTTAAAGAAGTAAGTTGTGTTAAAAACAAAATGAGAAGGTTTTGTGTTGGTTTTTTTTTTCTTTCCCCACAGAAGATTATATTTTGATTGAAATGATGTAGTTTAAAATACTAATTTTACTGGCAATATTACTCTTCCATTGCTTGGAAAAACAAGTTGACATACTTAGTCGAGTTTTCTTCCATTTCATATACTTTGCTTCACTTGGCCCATTAGATTACTGGCACAATACTTAACAAATTGGCATCTTTTAATGTCATTCAACACAAGTTTACATTTCTCCTAGGTGGTCTCTGTGTCCTTCATCTAATAGCCCCTGGACTCATTTCAGCTTAAACCATCTCACTAACTTGAGCAGTTCACATTCTGTGTGAACACTCACAGCACATGTAAAAACTCACAGCACACCATAAAAACATAGAACCATGACATTCCACCCCTTATTCTACATCGTTACATCATGCTTAAAATATATACACATATATATACAAACACATATATAAACAGCCAACTGCATTCCCTCTGATGGCTAACCTACCTCTTTCCTTCTTTCAACTCTTCCAGCCAGCACAGTGTGGCTTAGACCTCCGACATGTTACTGTGGTTGAGTTGGTTGGTATCTTCCCAGCTCAGATAGGAAGAATAGGTGTAAAGCTGCTGCCCCCTTCACTTGCACTGCAGCTCAGGTAAAGTAAGGTTTGTCTACTGTTATGTGTGCTATAGCATATACAATGTATTGTTTTTGAATTCCTGCATTTTATTATCTAAATAGGCATCTTTACTGTACCAAGGTAGGATCATAAGTAGATGTTCATGAATAAGTTTCAGTACTTACTCTCTTTTAACTTGTAAGAGCTAAAACAAATTGCTGGGCATTTGTGATTTATGAAATTAAGGGTGTGTTTCATATTCAAACATGCTATGGATCAGCTGGCTCAAGTGCTGTGTCTTTCCTGCCTTTTTGTTCCATGAATGATGCTACTTCAGGTGAGCTCTCTGTGTATCCCTTTATGTATCCCTTTATCATAGAATCACAGAATGGTTTGGTCTGGAAGGGACATCAAAGCCTACCCATTCCAACCCCTGCTGGGGGCAGGGCTGCCCCCCACCAGCTCAGGCTGCCCAGGGCCCAATCCAACCTGGCCTTGAGCACCTCCAGGGATGGAGGGATGTTCTGCCTTTATGTTTTTGGGTACTGTCACTGGAAAACACTGATTACAAACACATTTGTATTGTGCTGGAATTGGGCTGATGCAGTTCCAGCCACCTGCAGTCGCTTGGCAAGGACAGCCCCAGGCAGGATCACCAGCCCCTCATCTCTGCAGTACTGCTTGAGGCTGTGGTCAGGCCAGAAAGTAAACAGTAGGTGCTTTTTGAAGTCCCATGTACAGTCCTGTGTGATATGTAGAGGATTTCAAAGGACAAATGATCTTAGCCTCCTCAGCCTGACAGACATTCATCAATTTTACTGAGGTGTCTGAACTGTTTTGACTTGGTTTTGAACTGGCAGGGAGTTGGTTCTCACTTGAAAGGGAGATTTCAAGTGTCAGCACTGCCTAGGGATGGGAAGACTCCAAGAACTAAAAGTGAAGGCCTATTTGGCAGGGTAAGTGCTAGTAATTTAAGGAAAGAAGTCCAGGAGCACTTTAGGCAGCATTTTCTGTGCTCTACCTGAGAAAATGGTGTGAGTTCTAACTGGGTACAAGAAAAAATGTTCTTTTTTCAGTCTTCTGACAAGTCTGAAAGGTTTTTTGAATTGGGAAGAAAAAAAAGAAAAAAAAAAAAGTATTTCTTCCCCATAAAAGAAAGAGCCAGCTTCTTTTTCCTTAAAACAAAAAAACAAATCAAAAAAAAAACAAACTAAAAAAACATCACACCTTATATAATAGTTAGATTGAAGTTGAAGACATTTTCTTGTGGCTCTGTACAAAATAAGCTCTGGTAACACTCCTGTTCCTGCCCCATTGTGCTGCCCACCTCAACCTTCAATTTCAGAAACTGACACAATTTACAACCTGATCTCCACTCGGTGGAAGTTAGTGTTCAATTTGATTTTTGTTCTAGACTCTGATGCTACCAGAGCATGAGATAGCATTCCAGTCCAAGGAAGCACTTAATCCAAATGAAACACACCCTTAAGAATCTTGAATACAGATGCTGTCCAGCATTAGCACTCAGTAAAATAACCAGTCACAACTAACCCCAAACTCAGAAGGATTAGCATTTGCAGAGGGTAGGCACTTTCCTTAAGAAACCACAGTCCTTATCTCCCTTATCACCACAACTTAGCTTCAAAAATGATCTTAGGTTCAGAGCAATAGCCAAGCTCTGTAACTGCAGCAACACCTAGAGTAAGGAGTGGCACAAGATTATAGGGTAGTAAAAGGCACAAAAAGTCAGGTTCTGTGTTTCACAACCTTACTGCCATCCAGTGCCCTACAGACCCTCCTTGTCCTGACCTCATTCCTTCATAGATGCCTTTCTCCACAGCAGTGGCATTGACTGTCTGCATGACTGAGGAGCTCAAATGACTCATTTTTACCACTGTGAAGGAAAGGGATCTGGCCTGATTAGTGCTGGCTTTAGATTTCCTAAATTGGAGCTACCAGCAGGTAAATTAGTTACTAGCAGAAAGCAACAAAAACTGACTTAAGTCATTTTGTTCTGCTTTTTCGCATCATGGTTTTGTACTGCATGGCAGCAAAGAAACAGAATTGTCTACCTGTAACTCTTAAGCTCCATCACCATCATAGAATCATAGCATAGAATTACAGAAATCAGGTTGTTCGGTTGTTTTTGTTTTTTTTTAAGTCAATATCTGTATACTAATATTGAAAATACTCTTCTGTCTTGTTTCCTGTTGCCCTTGGGATAGGCTGTTGCTGAGGATCCCTCATTATAATTTCAACATTGTTGTGATGGACAAGCATGGAATGGACAAGGAACGCTACCCATTCCCAGCAACACCAGCTGAGCTCTTTGCACTTATTGACAATTTTCCCTTGAGAAAAGAAGAGATGAAACTGCAAGCAGAAATCGGCCAGTCATGTCCTTAATTCAGAATTACAGGGCTAGCATTTTGTCAGTGAATTTTTTACCCAGATAATTCTTCCCTCGGTGCTACAGAAAGCATGGCTTTTTAATCACTGATGTACAGAGTTGTTGTGTGTATCATTATGTCTGTGTAGCTGCTCTGCATGGGCGTATGCATGATGCTTTTTTGTACTTTCAAAGAGTATCTTTAGAGAAATGTGTACGTAGGATTACTACCCAATAGAACTTCTTGTACAGACATCAAAGAATTGAGGTACGTCTCCTGGGGTTTATTTTGGATTTTTCATTCAGTGTAAAATTCTTTCTTCCGTTTTATAAGTCTTTTATTAATAAAATATTGTTTTGCAAAGAAATAGTGCTCTAGAAGTCCTCTTAGCTATAATGTTTAGTGATTAACGTAGAAGTTGGATCAACAATTTAAATCAGAGGTCAATGTCTGTGCTAGGAGTGCACAGCAACCCAGCAGTGTCTTTCAGTAGAAAGCTGCAAAAGACCTCTAGGACCATCTATCCAGTCTAACCATCACTAACCATATCCCTCAGTGCCACATCCACACGGCTCTTGAGCACCTCCAGGGATGGTGACTCCACCACCTCCTTGGGCAGCCTGTGCCACTGTCCCTCTGCTCCTCCTGAGAAGTTCTCACTAATAACCAACCAGAACTTCTCCTGGCACAACTTGAGGCCATTCCCTCTCATCCTATCGCTGTCACCTAGGAGAAGAGGCCAACACTCACCTCACCACATCCTCCTTTCACGTGGTTCTAGAGAGCAGTAAGCTCTCCCCTGAGCCTCCTCTTCTCCAGACCAAACTATCCCAGTCCCCCCAGCCACTCCCCATAAGACTTGTGTGTTATGTCAGATCCATTATAATAAGGTCCATCACAGACACAAAGCATAAGCCAAAGGCAACACAAGTAACTGCTTCCAGCAGAACCAGAAGAAAACAGCTCATGGCAGGTGTACAGGAGTCATACCCAGGAGGAATTTGATAACAGAACAGTGAGCAACATAGAAAATGGGTGATAATTACTAAAGGCCATATGCTCGATAGAAAGACATGCTCTTACCTTGTGTTTCATGTCCAGTGAGTTGGAGTAATAGATTCCTTTCCCCTTTCATCCCAGAGATAGCTCAGTGGAACATTCCCCACAGAGAAACTTCATTAAGGATTCATCATCTCCAGGTCTGTGAAAATAGTTCTTTGCAACTCATCATTTAACAATAACAACAACAAAAAAAAATCACTGCTTAATGAAAAGTGTTAGGAGGCAATAAAAAAAAAAAGATAAAGTTCTCCGGTGTTTTTTTGAAATCCACAATCTTGCACATCCTCTGCAAAGAATCTGTACTGTGCACGAAGAATACAAATCCAAAAGGAGTGAAAAGTGTTGAAAAGTATGAGTTACAGCTTCGGACATTTGCTTAAAGTGTCAGGTGGGTAATCCCTCACGACTGAACAGCATTTCAGCGCCTGTGCTGCTCATTCAAAGCATGGCCCTTTTTGTTTCAGATAAATGCTTGTTTAACTGTAAAGCAAAGTGTTCATTTTGACAGTTGCTAGCAAAAACTAACAGAATAATGAAGTGCAGGAGCACTGAAGTGAGTGGAGAAGATGGGCAGCTTCTGAGATGGTGAGGAGCCTTACCAAAACCCAAGAGCAAGCATGAAAGCATAGCATAGCCAAGGTAAAGACCGACCTCAGAGCTGATGCCGAAGGCAGAGAAGATTCAGATGCACTCTGCAGGGGGTACTGCCAGGTTTGTGAGGATGGGCACTTGGAGGAGCAGGAAGCCTTCCTTTGAATGAGCTGTCCAAGTGTTTCCAAGATGCAAGGGTAACAAAATCACAGAAATAAACAGCACTTCTGTTCCAAACCTACCCAGACCAAAAACTCATCCTTGATCAACTATAAAAGGAGCAAGGTGGCTATGAACCAACATGCTTATGGATACAGCTGTTTCTTTTCTTGTTTGAAGAACACTGATGGTTAAAGAAATGAAGACGCAGCATGCCAAATCACTTCATGCCTTAAGTGGCACCTGCAGAACAGCCAGCACGAGGACAGATCTATGTACATTGCTATGGCCATTGGTGCTTCAGCACATGCGTGTGCTTAACATGAATGCACAGGTGGACAGGTCATTTCACCAGCCCTTTTACTCAGTCAAAAAGCACATCAGTGTTTTCCAATGATTTTTTTCAAACAAATAATAGATAAATACAAGGGTCTACTGAGTCTGATTGTTCTATTTCTGCAGTTCCAATATGTTGCTGCTCCATTTTAGGTGCAGAATTGGTGCATGCAGCCATCTTTCACATCTGGGTGAATAAAAGTGGGGCTTGATGATTGCCGCAGCCAGAAAAGTGATTGCAATCACCAGTCCTCTAAAGGAAATTGAATTAAGTGGATGGAAGTGCATGAGTGATTGGATTACCAGTTATAGTTCTACACAGAACATCTGCTAAAGTCCTATGATTAGCAAAAGCTGCTCTTGATTAAATACACAAGCTTTCTGGCATTTTCTGTGGAACATTTTTGTGGGGAGGAATGGGAGACTGACAAACCTCACATGCCATCTCTGACCTGGAGTCAGATCAGCGTGCAGGTATGGACCGCAGGTATGAGGCAGATCTGCCTTTTGGAGAAGAATGAACGAATGAAGATTTTGTATACTGGTTTTAGCCCAGCATTTGTATTGTCCAAACACATTCTAAATATTCAAATATATTCAAGTAAGCTTTGGTACTAGAAAAAAATCATGTTGTGTAAGCAAGGTGCAGTACCTATACCATTCCACTTTTGAAAAATAAAAAATGATTAAAAAACGTTTCAGATAGAATTTACTTACCTCCCTCACAATCGTGCAGGCTGGACTCTTCCTTTGACTTCCATCGTGGCTCTTCTTGGCATAGCTGCTAATCCTACCAACCACTGCTGTCAAAATGCAAATCCCGTTAAAAGCACAAATTGGGTGGAGAGGATTAGAGGCAGCACAACCAAGGAGCACAACCTGCAGTGAGTCTCCTTTCCTCTCCTGCTCCAGAACTGACAGATCAATGTGGGCACCCAGCCAGGGGCTGGAGGCATCTGCATCAGTCTGGAGATAACATCTTGGTTTTGAATGTTATTTCAACAGGCAAAAAGCTTCCATCATTTTAGAACAGAAAATAATTCACGTTTCTACCATGTGACATCTTTTGCAACAAGACTGCTGCGATTTTTCAGGAGCCCCAAACAATTCTCTGCATGGTCTGTAGGTTTCCCCCAAACCTACACAAGAATCTACGTGTTTAATGAGAACACTCCCTGCCATCACACACCTCATAATCACCTCCATCTGCAGGGGGAGAGACAAAAGTTGCATGTCCCCTTTTTTTGAAGTTCAGATCATCCCTTCTAGGAAACTCTGATGACAGCGCTCCTGACCCTGGCAGCTCCGTCCTGAATGACTGCAGTGTGGTGTTTTATACTCAGTACACAGTATTGCGTATTTCAGTGCTTAGTACTTAGCTAAGAGCCTGAGTCAGGCTGTGTAACATAATTAATGACAACAAAGGTAACAAATCTGGAAAACTGGTACACTCAGAGGAGGTGAAGAGATCTCAGCACTCAGTGGTTAAGTTGAAGTGAGTGTGACTCAGTTCCAAATATGAGTTGGAGAGAATAATCCAAGGGGTTTTGTGCCTTTTATCTTTAAAAATCCAAACCACCAATTACAGAGAAGTTGTGTTTTGAACGTACCTGGATTTTACAATCGGGCAGCACCTTGAGCTAGAGGTCAGGGAAGAGATCTGGAGACGGAGAGGAGGAACTGAATGCAGTGTTAAGGCACAGAAAAAATAACCCTCTAGCAGAGGAGAAAAGATCAGTGCATTTCCTAGTTTCTTAGATACAAAATTGGTGCAATGCATGTGAAACTAAAATCAGCATTAAAAATATGTAAGCTGTAGAACAGAAGACAAAAACAGAGAGAAAGACTATCAGTGCAGTCCCACCTCTATAGATTACTTCATTTATAGGCAGTGAATAATGAGTTTGCCTCAGAGAGATAACTGGATATCCCTAAAAGACATTTTAATAGTTCACTATAATGCATTTTAGAAGAGACAGGGACACAGACAACGTTCCATAATTTTAATTTTAAAAAACAGAACAATATTCTTGACAACTGCTGCAAATGTATTACCAGCCACTTTTCTCCACAAAACTGAATATACAGTGCACAGTACAAAAATGTTCTGGGCAGGAAATGCTTCATCTAAACTTGGGCAGAACTTAACATACTGCAGTGCCACTTACTGCTACTACTGTTAATATCCAGCAGAATAACCAAACAAACAACGTGCAATAGATTTTTAATCAGAACAAAGGTGACAAGAGGGGCATGTAGCATTCTCAATTCACTGCATTGAAGGACTACACTTGGCCTTAAGCAAACCCCAGCAATTACAGCAACCCTCAAAAATACACAGCCAGCTTTCAAGAGCAGTAGTGCAAAGCTGTAGGTAGGTTGTTGCCACAGAGTAGAATTGTTGAAATAGCGATCCTACATAAATGGCCATGATGCAGCAAGCGTGAGTCTCAAAAGCAACCTAAGGAACACCTATAGAAGCATGTTGAGATTCCCTTTCCAGTGTCAACATACACAGTATAATTAACAGTCTTATTATCACTTATCAAACAGCATCTGCAAATATGAAATCACCAGGCAGGAAATTCACAGCATGTAGTGGTAAGGCTCGACAAGCATGATTCAAGTGCCTCATACTGAGTTAAGGTAAGAAACATCTCTGCAAATAAAAGTCTGCATCCAATTTTGGATTTAATCACATGTTCTTACCATCATTTCTCTTAAGGTCCTCTAACGTTCTTATTTCTACACGTAAAAATAAATAAATAATATCCATCTTCACAAACTGTATCAAAAGAAAAAAAGAGTTTACAAAGTGCACATACCATCTTTCCAGAGACAGCTATTTCTGTCACTGCTGAAAATCAATACTGTATGTTAGGAAAGGGCAATTTCAGTTTTTACCTCACCTAGCCACTGTAAGCTATTCCTTAACTACTGCACACTGCCTCCTTCTGGATACCAGAGATTTGAGGTGTTGAAGGTGTTAAGGTGGAACATGGGGTCATAGTTGGACAAACTTGACAAAAACTAGAACAGTTTCCTAGTGGGGGTTGCTGAACTGAAGGGAAGGATGAATGGAAGAGATCCTGCAATGATTCAGGTATAATCCTTACTGTCCTGTGTGAAACAACAGACTAGACAGTTATAGAAATAAGACTCAGACTTTATATTCATTGACTCTAGAGCAAATCAAAAGCTTCATGTGCCTGAAGTTGG